TTTATTGCTCTACCCTGCTTGAGGGCCTGAGATCCTGAGTGGCAGCCCAATCTACCCTGAGTGCTAGGTCACGGTGCCCTGGGAGCCAGGATAGCCCAAGGGACTCTGACAAAACCTGTTTTGTGGGTTAGATGTCAGAGAGACTGTAGCAGTTGGGGTGTAAGATCCCTGCTGACTGTATGTGACAGAGTTATCTACCCTGCCACAAATGGATCGAAATTTGATTAATCCAATCCTTACAAATATCAAAAGTTTATAGCCTTCATTTTCTATATGACATGATTCTGTCATGAAACTGGAAAATAAGGCATTTTTAGGATGACTGGGTTCCACAAAAGATTTCAGAAGCTAAGCGGAAGTCCTGTGATGAGACTTTAGCATCTTTTGAACTGCTTCAATGGATGACCCAAGGAAAAAAATCTGAGAGATATGTAGCTGAGGAATTCAGTGTCACAAACTAACATGTCTGACCACTAAAGAAAAAAGCCAAAACCAATAAAAGCCCACTAGTTTTGTAATATACAACTACATTGTGTCAGGAAAAAAATTTATAACAACCATAATTTATATTATAATTACTTGCTCAGATACCAGGCCTGGATTTAAAGCTAAGAGTGATTCTGCCAGAATCATAGCAGGGTGTTGGGGGTTAGAGTAAAGCATGATGACTAGGATTTTCTTTTTGTAATAGAATTTTTCAGAAAAAAAATACCATGAGCCATGTTAAATGTTAATAAAATTCCACGTCAAAAAATTGTCTCATCTGTGTTGCTCACACCAAATTTTCTATCCCACCTGTGGCATGTACATCTTCCTGGTCCTCCATTCCTCCTGATCAGGTCCTTATGCACTGACCCAGCTAGGCTAGGCTATGCTAACTGTGAGGAGAGGCAGAGGCAAACCAAGACAAAAAGAATCATTTTAAATTTTTTAAACTTTATAAGGGAAAACCTCAATTGTACCAGGTGCATAAATAATATAATACGTTACCAAGTGCTTATTACTTATAATAATAAACTATAGGTTACCAATACATTAACCTTTACAAACTTGTACACGCTACTCTTCCTCATTCTGTGCAGTTAATACCAAATGCATTGTTATACAACAAAAGAGATTACTCAACTATATATTGTGTCACTTCAGAGAAGAATCAACATTTCCTTTCCTTAGCTGTAAGTTCTGCTCCACTCTTGGTGTCCTGTTCTTTGCTTCTCTTTGGCTTGAAGTGCTCCTTAGCTTCGATGTTCCTGTGGCTGTACGTCTTTGCACCGAGTTTATCTGCAAGTGGGGTTTCTTCACCTAGTGGGCCCTCACTTGTCTATTAGATACCTTTGAATTGTATTCCTTCAATAGATGTTCAAACAGTCATTCTCTCAGTCCATGTACTTTAGGTCTTTTGTGGGCGGGTATCTTGTTACTGTTTTCAGGATCTGTTTTCATCTAACACAGCTTTTTGATCAATAGCCTTTTTCGTTGATTATATTTCCTTTTATTTTTTTCCCTTGACACTCTTTCTCCAGCACATCTGTAGATTTTATTTCTCACTACTACTTCTTTTCTCTAATAGTCAGGGCTGCCCAGAGTCGGGGGGGGGGGGGAGGATGCAAGTGGGACAATTTGCCCCAGGCCCTGGGCCCCACAGGGCCCCCCACGAGAATATAGTATTCTATGGTATTGCAACTTTTTTTTATGGAAGGGGCCCCCGAAATTGCTTTGCCCCAGGCCTCCTGAATCCTCTGGGCGGCCCTGCTAATAGTGCCTGCTCATATACCCAGGTCTGTTTTTTTTTCCTGCTTCTCCTGACCTGAAACCTTTCCTATTTTCTTTCTTTCCTCCTCCTCACTTCCCAGTCCCCTATGTTCATTCTCCTGTTCTTGTTTTATTTTAACCCCTCGCCTCTTACCCTAGATTTGGTTCATCCAGTAGCTCAACATCCAGCCTCTTCTCTTTCCCTCCTTCTTCTCTCACAGCTTTTTCCAACTGCCCCCTTTGGGCAGATTCCATGCCCCCCTCCCCAGCTCAAGCTACCCTTTTATTGACTGCATCTCTCCCCTGGGCAGCATTCTATGCCGCTGCACCACGTGTTACTGAACTTATTCATCCAGGGCCAGGATTACTGAACTTATTCATCCCTCCTTTCCAACTGAGGAGTGTGGAGACCAGAATAGTGGTGATTCTTCACACCATTCCTTGCAGGATGCATCCAGAGCTACTGACAGTTCTTCACTGTATTCTATCATCTCCCCATAAATACTGGTAGTGCAATGGCTGTGTAGACAAACATGGTTAGGCATTGTATGCACAACCACAGTTAAAACACATTCAGTCTTAGACATTAAATTCTGTTTAATCAATGGGCTGAAATGTTGACTACTAGAGTACTACCATTCAGTTCTAGGGTAACTTTTTTAAATGTGTCAAAGTGACTTGGGAACCTTAGTCCCATTTTCAGAAGTGACTTACGCACTTAGAAATTTAACTTCCATTGACTTTCAATGAGATTTTGGCTCCTAAGTGTTTTTGTCACTTTTGAAAATGGGATTTAGGCTCCAAAATAAGGTGATCTTGAAAATTTTACCAATCATCTCTTTTTCAGAACACTCATGGGATCTTTAACTTCCACTGGGGTAACCACTTGAGAAAAGATAAGGGACACTTGGTTTAACATCTCAACTGAATGAGAACCCTTTAACAGTGGAGTTCTCCTTTAAATATTAGATGGGAAATGGAATAGAATCATAGAATCATAGAATATCAGGTTGGAAGGGACCTCAGGCAGGGCCGGCTCCAGGCACCAGCCGAGCAAGCTGGTGCTTGGGGTGGCAGCTTGTAGGAGGCGGCATTCTGCCCAATCCTAGGGCGGCACGGCCGCTTTTTTTGTTTGTTTTTTGGTTGGTGTTCCGGTCTGGTCGCCCTCCCGGCAGGTGGTGGGGCCGCGTGGCAGCGCCCCGCTGAAGCCCTGGCTGCCCCACTTCTCTCTCTCTCCACCCCACTCCCTCCCCCTCCCCCCTCTAGCCGGGGCACATCTGCAGCACAGGGAGTCCCCCTGCACCCTGGCTCCGGCCATGCCACAGGTTTTTTTTTTGCTTTGTCATTCTGGCCGCCCCGTTTTTTTTTTGCTTGGGGCGGCCAAAAAGCCAGAGCTGGCCCTGACCTCAGGAGGTCATCTAGTCTAACCCCCTGCTCAAAGCAGGACCAATTCCCAACTAAATTATCCCAGCCAGGGCTTTGTCAAGAAAGTTTTGAGATTTCAAAAAAAAAATTCCTTTCCTGAATCAGAACAAGAAAGTCAAAAACTTTTCACAAACCAATAATCTGGAAAACCATTCAGATCGGTCAATTGAAACATTTCATGTTGATCATTTCAAAACATTTAATTTAAATTTCAGCATTTTTTTTAAATTGCCCTTTTTAGTATAAATTAACTAAAATTTTGAAATACAAGTGGCTTCAAATGAAAAAAATGACACTTTTCATTTAGAAAATGTCAAAATGGGACATATTGATTTTTTTTAAATCACGATTGTTATTGAAACTGACCCTTTCCTGTGAACAATTTTGGTTTCAACAAATCAGCATTTTCTGACAGAAAAAATGACTTCACTGGAAAATTCCTGACCAACTCTATTTAATATCGTACTAAAGTATGCTTTCCCTCCAGATATATATTAAATGACTAGGGTATGGTATGATCTCTTCTACAATTTGAATTCTATGGTCATATTTCATGGGGCCCATGAAGGGCCAGCTCCAGGGTTTTTACCGCCCCAGGCGGCGGGGGGAAAAAAAAGCCGTGATCGCCGGCAGCCCTACAGCACCGTTTCACATTCTTTGGCGGTAGGTCCTTCCCCCCGAGAGGGACTCAGGGACCCGCCGCCAAAGAGCCGGATGTGCTGCCCCTTCCCATTGGCCGCGGGCAAGCACCAGCTTGCTGCTCTGGTGCCTGGAGCTGGCCCTGGGCCCATGTTTTAGCAGAGAGTGTATCATCTGGGACTTAGTGCTGATAGAGGCGTTTGGATATTTTAGATGGCTGAGGTGAAACTATACTATGACGGGTCAGCTATTGCTCAAAGGTATAAATCTATCAGTTCCCTCATCCTTGACTGAGTGACTCATTAAAGCATGGTAGCACACTGTACCCTGCTCAAATTAAGCTAGTGATTTGAAAACAATACAGCTTTGAAACCAAAGTTTTGACCGATTTTGTACAAAAAAAATCCGTTTTCTTAATTTTTCAATTATTATTATTTAAAGGGGCATTGTCAACAGATTTAGGCTCAAAATTTGACCTACCTTCCCAAAATGGAAAATACTCAGGCTTCTCAATATCTCTGTTGTTTAAAATCTCTCATTCCATCATGGAGAAATACGTAAATAAAATGAACTAACTTTTGCGAAAACTGCTCAAGCATGTTTTGTGCTCCCTCTGCTGGCTCAATAGAAGCTGTTGCCTGATAACCATTGATGCTGTGTCTGACTGAATATACTTCAGCACACAGATATGTGTGGAACATGCTGGCCAACGCTTCCCACAGCTCCCGTTGGCTGGGAATGGCGAACCGCAGCCACTGGAAGCTGCGGGGTGGGTCGTGCCTGCGGACATCAACGTAAACAAAATGTCTTGTGGCCCACCAGCAGATTACCCTGATGGGCTGTGTGCTGAAGGTTGCCGACTCTTGAACTATGGTCTTGGCTTACGGTGTCCACCTGACTTTTTTTAACTCTTACTTTTAAAATGCAATTCTTTTCTTAACTGCTTAATTGTCGATTCATAAGTCTCCATAGAACTTGGCTTACTTGGTAATTTCCCTCTTTAAACAAAACAAAACATTGATTTTTCTGTTGAATAGAATTTCTAATAGGAGGAATGTACCAGGTTCTCTCTTCTCTTTCCATCTAAGCAGCAAATATAATATGTCTAGACTTTAGCAAAGCATTAGACACAGCAAATCTAAAATCCATATGAGAGAGAATGAGAACAAACCACACATGATAGATATTAGTCATGATGTTTAATGCACTCCTGGAAGGAGCTCAGATACAATGGTGATGAGCATGGTATAAGAACCTACATAAAATAGAATATTAGCTTGCATGAAAATTATCTGAAGGGCTGTGAATGAAAGATACTATAAAGGGGATGTGTCAAGACAGGGGAGGTGCTAGGTATGGAGTCACAGGGGATGGTAAGTGACTCAGCTTTAATTAACATTGTTGTTAGTATTTTGGAAGAAAGGCTAAACCACATGTTTATTCCAGTCACCATTATATTAGGAAGCGAGCCAAATACCAATGGAGACAGAGAATAATACAGAGGGGCCTATGGGCAAATCTCAGAACAATTATGTTGCCTAACTAGTCAGGCTGTTATCTGGGGATCTCCACAATGACTGGCTGTGGGGGAAGGAATCCTCCCTCCCAAGCCACAGAGCTAGCCTCTGTGTTTCTGTTTCGTGTGCTCCCCTGTCTAGGAGAGAATGGCTGGCAGAGACACAGACATCCCACATGTGCTTTCCAAATCCTGACACCCATTCTGCACTGGTTACAGAGGAGGGGGCAAAATTTGGCGACCACAGTGGTTAGAAATGTCTAACAGACATAACAGGATTACCCTGGATCTGAAAAATGGAAGCTAGCACATTTGGGGAATAATAATATGAAATAGATATTTGATGAAAGGGAGACACTGGGACAGTAGTAGTGCCAAGATAGCCCTTGGAATGTAAGTGAACAGCAAGTAACTAGGAGCTTGACATCAGATACAGAGGCAACAATACCCAATAGGTTAACTTGTGCCTCATTAGCCACTGCTCAAGGTAGGGGTTTATGGAGATGCACTGCTCCAGTGGGATCTCTTGAGGCATTATGCCTTACTCGGGCTGAATATCAGAGAACATTTCCTAACAAAGAACTCTATAATCTGCGTAATAACCTCCCAAATTAATGGCGGAAGGGCCAGCAGCTGGGACACTTGAAGAACTGGACAAAGCATGGGAGAATATTATTATTAAATATTTGCATTGCATTAGCACCTACAGGCCCCAGTCAGGAATCACAGCCCCTTTGTGGTAGGGACTCTTCATGAATTAAAAGGGTGGTTCCTGCCCCAAAGGAAATGTAGGAAATAATCCTGCATTACCAAGGTCCTTATCCATATGCCACTGAAATCTTTCTATTAACTTCAATATGCTTTTGGATTGGACTCTCAGGGCGAAATCTGGTTCTGCTGAAATCAAGGAGAGTTTTGTCATTGATTTTGATAGGGTAAGGATTTCACTGATGTCCTATTAGGTATTTTCCATCTTTATATTATTTTACAAGGATAAAATCCATCCCTGAGCAGAGAGCCAGCACAAAGCCTACCCACCACTTAAGCATCACTATAGCCTTCAAACTAGGGTGTAAGCAGGACACAAGTGGTGCTTGGGCCTTTTCTGGCCTTCTGACAAGTGGTGAATTTCACTTTGGCTATGCCAGAGGGAATAAGTGGGGCATCTGTATCATGATTTTCAAGCAAAAAAAAAATGGACCAAACTTTATCCACTCTATCCACAAATATATTTATTGTAGTTGCTTCTCTTTCACTAGATATACATTGTTAAAGATGTAGTATCCCTTTCTCTCCATGACGTTCATAAAGCTGATTATAAAGTAGTAGATTCTTCCAGTAAAAAAGAAGAAGAAAACCCCCACGACTGTGAAAGACACATATTTCCGTGGTCTATTTTCTGTTCTTTATTAACTCAGCATCGTCTCCTACAAATATGATTTGTCATTCCCTGGAAGATTTGAAATGTAGATTTAAGTTACACATAGTTATAAAAAGCATAGAACAGCACGCACTGTACCACTGTTTAGACCAGAAAACATTGTGTTGTCCCATAGCTAAGAATGCTATACGAGCAAAGCGCCACCACTTCTCCTTTAGGAACTTCAGTCTCTGAAGTTGCAGTTGCTTCCACTTCTTTTCCTTCTTTAACTGTCAACACCCTGCAGGTATTCTGGTATTTCTCACATGAGTCTGGAACAAGTACCAGGGAACCCCAGGGTAATTCAGTTCAGATCCACCACAGGGTGCAAAACCTTAGATTCCTACTGGCTCTTGAAAAATGGTTTCCCTCCTGACCCTCTCTGAATATTTATGTACGATATACGATGGGATACTTTATCTCTGATTTAGACATCTCTCTTGTCTCCTACTTTGCTTAAACAATAGCTTGAAAAACATTTTACAGAGGAAGCAGGTTGTTCATCCAGATGTCATTCATTATATTGCTATATTTTATACCCTATTAATAAGTATATACACAATTTCTTAATTGCCTTTTACAGATGCATGGCAGCATATAATGTAACAGTTTTAAAGTATCCCTTTTTAAGATTTTGTTTTTTAAATTCTTGGCTCATGTCAGTCTCTTTAATAAACTATGATTGCCTGGAGAATATAGGAACTATTTGGAATGTTGTTTAAGGTTTAACAATAACTGATAGCATTGTCCATTTGTGGTTTGAATGGCTTGAGCATCTGTCACCGGGATCTGGTTGAGATAGCAGCATCATAAGTCTAAAACAATCAGGTAAGGCCATTAGTGTACAGTGCTGATGGGTACTGGGTTCTGTTGTTTATCTTGGGCTTTTCTTTTCTTCGGCTGCATTTTGTTTTTGTTTTCCCGCTGTTCTCGGTTTTGTCTTCGGGATTCTCGGCCTTTGTTTTCCTGCCTTGTCTCCCTATTTTCTTCTTTGTTTGGCCTTTTCCCTTTCTCATCTCTATTTTTTTTCCCTGCAATAAAAATACATGGCACATTATAAGCAATACTCAGACCATCCCAGTCTTTGAATCCTGTCAGTTTGCCAACAGCCTGAAAAATCACCCTTTGATTACAAGCTCATGATGCTGAGGGTTAAAACCAAACATTAACGCAGTTGTCTGGAGAGCAATCATAGGTATCCATCTGTGAATCAAGTCATCAGGTAAAGTCCTGACCTAGGGCCAGATTCTCTATCCCTGAGTTGAGCAAAGTGTCTGGAGTCTGGCCATAACCAGACAGCTGAGAATTCCTCTTGTGTGGTGGGGGAAGTTCTTAGCTGGTACAAAGCTGGCATAGTTGGTTTCTATGCCATCTGCCCCCCAACAGAGGTCATTGTGAGCATGGCAGAATGACCTGCACTCCCCCATTTCTCATTTGGTGTATGCTCCAGCTGACGTAAGTTAAAGCACTCCCTAGGATGCTATAACTTATGCCTGAGCCAGGAACCTGAGCAAATGTGGCTAGTAAATCACGGAGCTGTAACTGGCTCCCTACTTATTCCCCCTCTCTGTCACAGAGCTCTTCTCAGCACAGGAGAAGATCTGGGATCCACAGTCTTAAAATTCTCCTTCTCCTGCAGAGGATTTCCTTCCCTGCAGGGAGAACTCCCTTGAATAATATTGATTCCAGCACTGGTATGTGACCATAATAAGACAAAATATTAACGTCTTAAGTGCTGAACCTTTTACCCATTGATACAAACCTGATGAATTCAATCACTTTACTTTATTTCCTTAAATATCTCTGAGGGTAGAACTCTGAGGCTTTTGTTACCATCAAGGCTCTCATGAGTAAAGTTTCTGTTCCCTTAAAGAATAGTTAAAGCTTGCTATTGCTGTGAATTAGATGTGCAATGCATTTATTCTTCTATTTCTTAGGTTTACATTAGAAACTGCTCCACATATGAAATACTGACAGTTAAACTTGGCTTTACACACTAACTTAAAGCTGAGTGCTTTTTTTGTATGTGAGAATTGGTCCATATACTGAGCCCTATGAGTGAAATTTACCCATATGCAGAAGATTCCCACGTATGCTTTAAAACAGTACACCTCTACCCCGATATAACGCGACCCGATATAAAGCGGTAAAGCAGTGCTCCGGGGGGCGGGGGGGGCGGGGCTGCACACTCCGGCGGATCAAAGCAAGTTCGATATATAGGTTTCACCTATAATGCGGTAAAATTTTTTGGCTCCCGAGGACAGCGTTATATAGGGGTAGAGGTGTATTTTAACTGAGGCGTAAGTAGTATACGGGCCTTGTGCTAGCTGCCTATGCAAGGGAGAATTTCACTGTTTGTGCAGTATTGAGAAACACCTAGTTAATTCTGTTTTATGGCATCATGGCAAATATTGTATGCTGAAAACAACAATCACTGCTTATTACAGCAAAAAATACTTTAGTCCAGGTCTCATAATTGTATATCATTAGAAATACCCTGGGTTTCCTGACATCTGGATCTCGAAGACAGAGTCAACCAAACCTGATTACTAGGTAATAGACCTCTGTGTTGTCTGCAATGGAGAGGGTGACCAATATAGGGAACCAAGTCCAGCCCAGACATGAAAATAAAGGTGAGAGTATCTGGTAACTTGTGGGGGATTGAAAGCCAGTTCAGGATGGAGGGAAGGAGTAGTTTCAGTCTAAGGAAAGATGAGAGAACAAGGTCAGCGGTGTCAGACTAAGGGAGGAGGAGACAGAACAGCATGAAAGGTTTCTTAGAGATTGGGGAGAGAGGCAAGGAGTAAGGTGAGAAAATGAAGGAGAAGGGGTATGTTGTAGGCCATGCTTGATACAGAGCTGTAACATAGTTAAGGCTGTGATCAGGGCCGTATCCAGGCACCAGCCCACCAAGCTTGTGCTTGGGGTGGCACCTGGAGGGGGGCGGCGCGGTGCTCCGGCTCCGGCCGCCGGGGACAGCGGAGCCGCGGTGGGCTCGCCGCCCTCCCCTGCCACGCTGGGGGGGGGAGGGGGGAGAGGCGGAGGCTTTTTTGCCTGGGGTGGCAAAAAAGCCAGAGCCGGCCCTGGCTGTGATTTAGTCAGGGGTATTTTTAGTAAAAGTCATGGAGAGGTCACAGACAAAAATTCATGGCCTATGACCTGTCCATGACCTTTGCTAGAAATGCCATGACTAAATCTTATCTGTGTGGCCCTGGGGTGCCACTGCTCAGGGGGCCTTCCATGGGGGTGCTCCTGTAGAAGCCATCTGAGGTGCCGCTGCTTTGGGGATGCCTGGGGCCAGCCCCCACCAGCCACTGCTGAGGTGGTCCCCGGGGACAGCCCCACTGGCCACTGCTCAGGCAGAACCCGGGGCCAGCTGCCTGGGGCCACCCAAGTAGCGGCTGGTACGGCTGGCCAGGGGGCTGCTCCAGCAGCGGCCGGTACGCCTGGCTGCGGGGCCACTACAGAAGTCACGGAGGTTGCGGAAAGTCACACAGCCTTATGCATAGTTTCCTGGCTTGTTTCCCAACCAGTCCATTCGTGACCAGTTCTAGCTGATAAAAGATTCAGATGAAAGTTTAAGATATTTACACTTCCTAAGTTCAATATGGATGAATAACTGAGTCTCTCTTCTATTACTTCAGAAACTTGAAATATTGCTTTGCTTCTAATCCAAAATTACTCCAATGATTTTAGATGGCCAGACAAAACAAATATACAACCCTATTAGTAGCACCAGTGCTCCCTGAATGGCAGATCAGCACACAGTGTGAAGGACAGCAGAAATGAAATGGTGACTTGTGGAATGTGCACCCAGTTCTCAGAGAGAGAAGTCTGAAAGCGTTGGGTTACATACCATTTCCATGTTGAGTTCCTTTCTGAAGGTGAACATGCATCAAGCCCAGTTCTAATATTATATAACAATATGTCAGTGACCATTTTGAATTCAGTTCCAAACCTCTGTGAAGACTATTGACCCCAAATGAAATGTTATTTTGATGGAAATCATCCAGACGTTCAATGTTTGACATTGTTCACTTGGTGACGGTCCAATATCGTACAGCTCTGACCTCCTAACCACAATGCTTTGGACACATTGGAAAGGCACTCCCTCCCCTCCTCTTCAGTCGCTGATTGATTTGGAATTTTTTTAGCTGCTCATGGCAACTCACTGATTTAGCCCTGGGATTTTTTTTTTAAGAAAAGCAAACTGATATAATTATTACTTAAGACAGGCAGAGATATTTTTGGAAAGAGCTTGAAACTCAGTAATATTCCTGTTACCCAAAGAATGAGGATTTGGTCTGAGAAGTGCTCTAAAGTAACAGCATGAGTTTACTGTGCAACATATTGGTCCTGCACAACACAGAATTAAACAAAAATTGAGGGGGGAAGTGTCCCTTGTGGCTGGCCCTGTAGGATGCACAAGAGGAGTAAGGGGCACATGGAGCATCTTCCCTTTTGTGCTGCTGTGGAAGGGCTTGGCACAATCCCAGTGGAGAGTGCTTCACTACCCTATGGGCTGGTCTACACTAGAAAGTTAGGTTGACCCAGCTATGTTGCTCAGGAATGTGAAAAAAATCACATGCCTGGGAGATGTAGTTAAGCTGACCTAAGCCCTAGTGTAGACAGTGCTAGGTTAATGGAAGAATTCTTCCCTTGACCTAGCTATCGCCTCCCAAGGGGGTGGATTTACTACAGCAGCTGTAGCATTTCTAATGCAGACATAGCCTAAAGCTGGCTGGATGTGGAGGGGAATCTATTGAAAGGGTGGTAGAGCTGCTGCGTCAGCATGCGCTCTGCAGGAGCACTTGGGAGAAAAATCAGGCTGAGCCAGCCAGATACACCTGGAGGGTCCTTCTGCAGCCCAGCCACTCCACTCACCCCTCTGAGAGGGGAATTGCTTAAAAGCTACAATCCAACCCTTAATGTGTTACACCAAAGCCAGTGTTGGCAATGACTGAGAACAACCTGCATTGGTGCCCCTTAGCACACAGTGGGGCAGATTGCTGGGCCCAGCCAACCTGCACTTGGTGTAGGACCCAGGGTAAGGGAGAAGGTGGATCTAAGATAACTTCCTGTTCCCCCGTCATTGGCCTGACTAGGAGCTGCAGCAATTCCCAGCGTAATATAAGAGTTGATCTAAATTAAGCTGGCTAGAGCAGTCCTTTAGGGAATAAGCCATCATTCCTAGGCAGAGCTGGTCAGAGAAATTTCAATGGAAACATAATACGTCAGAATTCACAGTTCCATCAAAATCATAACACTTTGTGAAACGGAGTCAATTTCACTGGAATTTCATTTCAGAAGAAAATTTGAAAAAAAGTTCCACCAATGTTGAACCAGTCTCTTTGGACATATTTGGAACAAAATGTTTTGATTTTTTGCTTTAAAATGACTTTCTTTTGAATGTTTTTATTTATTTTGCATTCTATTATATATTTTTAAAATACAAAATCAGAAGTCAAAATCAAAATGAAATGATTTTGTCAAAACAAAAAAACATTGAAATCAACCCAAACCAAATTTTTTTTTGGAATTTTCATTGGTGGCAATTTTGAAGTTTTCATGTTTCACTCCGATTCAGAACAGAGGCAAATTTGGAAATCCTTCACAAAATGAAATTTCCATCCTCCGCACAGCAAGAGATTCCTGGACTCTGTAGGACTCTTAAACTTGTTTTGCACTGCAAATGGCTTCCTCTGCATAGTTCTTCACGTGACGCTCTTAACACAGCCTACCACAAATGCCCACATATTGCCATCTTTTGTGAAGGAGCCGCTGCGCTAGAATGTTGCATTCTGCTGCTCTAGAAAAACAATTCAACCCAAAAGCGTCATCTTTGCAGTTTTTGTAAAGCAGGCACGAGTCTTTCATCATGAAGTACCGCCGGTTCATTAGCTCTTTTAACTACTATTTTTATAAACCTGTATATAATGGTGTTACTTTGTTTCCATCCTCTCTGGGGTATAGATTCTTGTGGCAACTAAAGGTTAGGGGAAGAAGGGGAAAGTTACTCCTCCCTTAGTTT